CTAGCATTTCCGAGGCTGAACATCTTCAAGGGAGCAGATGGCTTCATCTTTCTCTTGCAGAGCTGCTGCTGGACTTGAACCGCCAACCTGGCAGTTGTTAACTGGAGGCTTAACCCAGAGCGCCATATACATTTTTAATTCATGAAAACACATATTTTGAGGTTCGTGCACCCTTAAATCTGGGCTGTGGAGTTTGACACATTTTTACAAGTAAAGGAAGGTGGTTGTAGTGAAATCCCCGTCTCTGGGAGTTACTGTCATGCTCCCAATGTGGTGGAATTCAGAATGCGGATGAGCTAATGTCTGGCTCATTGGCTTCAAGGCGAATGAATAAAAAATGGTGGCGTCATGACAACACGCACGTTGGGGATCCTTTACCAAGGAATATGACTTCTCTGAGCTTCAGGTGTGCCATCAGAGAAGTAGAGGTGGCTCATACATGGGATGCAATTACAATAATCTCCACGTGTGCGATGCTCAAATGGACAATGCGAGTGTCAATACAGACGGCGACAGAAAAGGACCCCAGAGGGTGGATCCAGTCACGGAGGCTTCTAAGTGCTGATGTCGTCAGTCATGCCACTCTCAGGAGAGCTATGATCTGAGCTCCCCAGGGAACAGGGCCACCTCTCCTTGCTCACTGCCCTCTTCCCCACTGTCCGTCTTGCCCAAGCTGCAGAGTGGCTGGCGGCTTTGATGCCTAGGGCATGGTCAACCCCAAGCTGTGGCAAGCCCGATCTTTTCTTCCCACTTCTAGGAGGATAGCCACTGGCTGGCACCGAGTAAAGAGAATGGTGGGTCACAAGGTAAGGCGTGCATGTGTTTACACTCACTGCCATCCAGTCGATGCCGACTCATAGTGACCCTATAGGGCAAGGTAGAACTGCCCGTTGTGTCTCTTTGGTGAGATCAGCATCCGGGGTGGCATCAAGGCCCCGTGAGGGATCACGACCAGTGTTCCAGGTTGCACCTACCCGTTGGGCCTTCTGCTCTGGTTACGCCCGCGCTGTCTTTCAGTTCTTCTTCCAATACTGCAGATCGGTCTGATTAGGAAAACAAGACCTTTGCCTTTTAATCATGAGCTGGACATTTTGTAATGAATGTAATTTTTTTTTTCTTGGAAAAAAAAAATCTAAGCTTTCTTTCTTGCAAGTTCAATTCTCTCACCTAGAAACAATGCAACTGATTTCACGGCCTGCTCCCCCACCCCTCCCAGCCCCCTCCCCCAGCAAGTTGTCGCTTATCTATGAGGGACCGGCTGGAAGCTGACCAGCTGCAGCACCTACTGACCACCAGGGAGTGAGCGGCTTGCGGACGAGTTGCCGTTGTCCTGCTCTTCCAGCTGCGCCCATTGTCAGTGTGCCGTGCCCGCTGCCAGCAGGGTGATTCCGAGTCATTACGGTCCCACATGGGGCTTCTGAGGCTGTACATCGCTATCCATGTAGATGGCCTCCTCTTTCTTCTGGGGAGTGGCTGGTGGGTTTGAACCACCAACCTTGTGGTCAGCAGTCTAACACGTACCTGAGAGTGCTACCGGGGCTCCAAATAACCCAATTTGGAAGCAGAAGCTTTGAATCAGTTGCCATTTATATGTATGTTCCTACCTTGATTAGCAACGATGATGGCAGAGACCCATCCCCCACGCGCCCCCTCCATGGGATCCGTCACCTGCTTGTGGCCACCCCAGTGAATGTTCTCACCACCTGTGCCAGGCTTGGTGGTGGTACCTGGAGCCCAACCAGAGTGATAATCTCCAATGGTTATATGGTTACTTGCCCAAGTTTCTCTCTAAAATCTTAGTGGTGGACCTGGGAGATACAAGAAGCGAAGTTTGCACACGCCACCAGAACTCGAAGTTGGGACGGCACCCATATGGACCAGAGCGAGCAAGCGAGCGGGAGGAGCATTTTGGGGTCTAGCTTCGGCGTCAGCCTGTGGCGAGGCGAATAGGGGCCACGAGCTGAGCTCTGCTGGACTCTGAGCAGCAAAGCTGCCCCTTGGTAGGTGGGCAGGCTGCCCTGAGCCAGTGCTCCAGGCCCAGCTAGGAAGAGCCTCTCATGGGGACAAGGGCCTGGCGGGCAGAGAGGCCAGAGAGACCACCCTGCTGGAGGCTGTTCCCCTGGCCCAGGACCCATCTGGAGAACTTACCAGAAGGGCGCCTACGAGGTTCCAGGGCCTTTCCCAAGAGGTGGGCCACCCCAACTGGATCCCCTTCATCTGCGAGGTGCTCGGCCACAGTGGGGTTGGGCCTGGTGTTTTGGGAGAAGCACATTCAGGGAAGCCCGAGTGGCAGGGATTGCAGGGTCGGCCCCGTCGGCAAGGCAAGGGCACCCAGCCTGGGTGAGGCTGTGAGCGGTTCTGGTTGGGAGAGCCATGCTCCTGGCAAACTGAAGTTGGGGCTTGGTCTCCCTGGCACCCCCTTACTTGGTGACCCAGAGTCCCGTGGCTGTCACTGGCCCAACCCTGCCCCTACCCTCTGCCCTGGGGTTGAATGCTTGGCCTTGGCTCTGAACTTTCACTTTGTTCTGTGCTCTCAGAGCGGTGCTTCCCTCAAGTTTGAGATCCTGGGGCACTCCCCCAGGGCACGCGCCTCTGGATTTTGGGTCTATTTGTTTCTTTATTTAAAAAAAATCATTTCATTGGGGGCTCATTACAAGTTGGTCAATTTGTTTTAAACTTTTTTTGTCACCAATAAAAGATTAATAAGCAAAAAATAAATAACTAATACTCCCATCTCAGGATGAATTGTAGAGCTAGCACCTACACCCAAGATCGCCTTTCTCTTGAGTTGGAGTAATAGAGCGGACAAGGAAGGAGCCAAAGAAATGACTGTGTGGTCTTCAGCTGGAGTTGTAGTTTCAGCGCTTCATGATTGGAACCTACCGTCCCCCCCCTGGAGCTGGCATTTTGATGATGTCCCCGCAAACACTCATGCGGCCAGTGTGGGCTCCCTTTGTCATAAAGCCTCAGCCACGTTCTCTGAAGAAATTCCACTCTCACTTCTGACATTTATTTCCTTTAGATTTTTACGTTTTCTTTCAGGGAGATGCTAGGTCCTGGTGAGCTGAGGGGTGAAGGGTGGGAGGCAGGCCCTTCACGGTGACAGAGCCGGTCAACCTCCCTTCTCCTGAGTGGTTAAAACAGAGAACCGCTTCCTTGCAGGGGCAGCAGCCCCACAGGGGTTATGCCTTCTCCATCTGGAGTGCCAGGGCTGGGTGCAAAACGCATATGTTCGCTGGGTGAGAGGATACCTCAGGCAGGACTCGGGGTGGCAGGGGAGCCACTTGGACTGGATTTTGTCATGGAAACCACACCTTGTTTCCTCTTCTCGAAGATGTGCCTTGTGGGAGGTGGAGTTCCTTCCTCTGTGGTTCTGGCTCATACCAACCCCAACGGAAAGCAGGAGGCAGCAGCATCCTTACCCAGTGTGTGTGTGTGTGTGTGTGCACGCATGTCTGTGTAAGGTCCCGGGGGTCTATCCCAGAGTCCTTTGTGAGTCCCTGTAACTCTGACCTCAGGTCTTGCTCCTTTTAAATTCTGTAGGCTCCCTTCGTTAAGCAGTCCCATTCTTTCTAATCATCCAAATCCATGAAAATAAAACAAAACAAACACCAGGCTCACTGCCATCGAGTCAATGCGGACTCACAGTGACCCAATAGGACAGAGAATACATACCTGCCCCGGTGGGTTTCAGACACTGTAAACTCTACAGAATCGAAAGCCTCGTCTTTCTCCCGAGGAAGCAGCTGGTGGTTTCAAACTGCTGATCTCGGCCCCACACGCGATCACTATGCCAGCAGGGTTCCTACATTAAAATCTCAAACGGTGCCCAGATGGCTGACATCTGTATAAGCGGGTTCCTCACCACTGAGGCATGGAGGAGGGCGCCCTGGACACATCACATGGGCTCCCAAGTCTAGATCTATAAATATATTTATTATCATATAACAAGAACTTAACAGTAAACATATACTATGTACAATACCGTTACAGAGAACCCTGTTTTATATCCTTCACAGAAATAGCCAGCTTTGCTCCAGTGCGATAGATGAGGCGAGAAGGCGGATTCCAACAGTGCCACCTGGGCTGAGTCCTGCTGTCCGCTAGCACCTCCTTTGGAGGTAGACGCACCCAACGCTAACTTTAGCCCTGCCCAGGCAGTTAGGAATTTGTGCTCCGGTCCTTGGGTTCACACTTGCACCCTGTTTGACATAAATACTTTAAATGACATACAATGTATGTAGTTTTGTGCTTATTACTTTTTTTTAATAATAAATAATATTAAAAACTGCATAACGAAGCTCAGGATCACGTTGTCCAAGTGGGGGCCACGCTTCTGGATGCCCGCCCGACGGGCTTTTGTGTCATCAAATACTGGACAGTGGAAGGCATGTCCTGTCCCTCTTCTCCTCGTGAATGGTCTCAGGGTGACATGACGACCGGGGGTGGGGTGGGGGGGATGACAAAGGGGACCTCCCGGGCATAAAAATGGTAGATGGGTATTTGGTACCAACATGAACTCAACAGCGCAGGCTCCTTCCTGCCCTGGAATGGACACGTGACCACGTGAGGTTTGAGGGTCTGAGGATTAGCAGGAAGGCCTTTCTCTTTTGAGCCTCGGCAAGCGAGCGAGCGTGCTGTCCCTTCCTCAGGCTGCTCTGTGGCGGGAGAGGCACCCTGCTGGGACTCAGCAGGCCTTGGCGGTCATGGCTCGTCTAAGAAGGTTGTCCCCATCCTGAGCGCTCTGGCGGCAGGTGCCTTAATATATAGCTATGAATATCAAAAATAGTCTCCTGTGCTTTCTAGACAGTTTTTGTTCGTGCCCCTGCCCTTCGCCCCAGCTCCGTGGCCTGGGTCCTCAGCTCAGCTGCCTGGAGACGCAGCGCTGGTACCAGAAGCCAGAGCTGGCTTCCTCCCGCGGCAGGACTTTCTACCGCTCACCAAGCCTCCACGGGGCTGTCGGGCGCCGACTTTTCTAAAAATAAAACGGGGGCATGTGCCCCCCTCCCCAGGAGAAAACCTCTATTCTGCACGTAGAAAAAATTAAGAGCAAATGCCCCACTCTGGCACTCACGACCCAGCTTCGGGAATCTCCACATCGTGTCTTTCTGGTGGCCCCCTGTCTCTCTGTACTTAAAAATAGCCTTTTGTGTATCAAGAAAAAAATGCCTTGGAAATCTAAATAATTCATACCGAGTAAGAGAACGCTAGCACAACCCTCTTGTCCTTCTCCAGCAAACACCTGTGAAGGATGGCCGGCTGTCCCCTGCTGCCCCTGCCTGGCTCTGCTCCAGCAGCCCGGCTTCTCCTGCGCCGCCCAGGGGACCAGCAGCCTACCGAACAGTCCTGTCCATGGTTTTCCTTCAGCCATGGGAAGGGTGGGTTGGTTAAAAACAGAAAAGTAGGGATCAAAGTGGTAAGGACACTTTGATCTTCTTCCAAGAGAGCCTGGTGCCGCTCGCACAAGCTGGTGCGTGCGACTGACATCGGATAACTGATCGACGGTGGCTGGGGGATCGAGCTTGCTCTGCAGGAAGGAAAAAAGACAGCTTCTCTCTCCCAGTTGAAAAAATATGTGAAACTCTATTGCACCGGGCAGAGGGAGCACCTCTGATCAGAGCAAGCGCTCCGGCGGGCGCCGGCTGTCCCCGCGGCTCGGTCACCCACCGGCAGGAGGGTCCTCCACGGCCCACGGAGAGCAACTTCACAATGTTTAGCGCAGCGGTTCCTAGGTTGCGTGATGTTGGCCTCTTCCTGGGGTTGCTGAAAACGTCTCCTTGTGGGTCGCGCTTGCCGCACCAGACTAGTCCACAGTCTCGCCATGGCCTCCCGGCGGACGTCAGCCGCTCTGAATATACTTCTTGATCACCACGCAGCCGTGTCTGAACACCGGGCAGGGCATGTGGGGTAGGAGGGTCCACGTGTTGCTGGCGGGCTCATAGGCTTCCATGTTGCCCAGGGCAGGTCCCTCGCTGCTAACGATGCCTCCCGTGGCGTAAATCTTGCCATCCAACACCACGGCACTGTCAGGAAGGAAGGGGAGGAGCGTTAGGCCCGTCGCCCTCCTCTGGGCCCCAGAGCAAGCGGCCTGTGAGCGGGCTGCTGGGTTAAGCCCTCTGATTGTTCCTGCAGGGCCAATCACACAGCAAGCGGGCTCTCCCTTCACTCCCACCACCGCACCCCAAGCTGCTGGAGACCGGACGTGGGCCAGGCCTCCAACGAGCAGCCAGGAGGCGCACAGCCTCTGCCGACAGGTTCCAGGCTCAGAGCAATGTGGGGACACAGTGCAAAAGAAATTCAGGCTCCAGGGGAAGTTAGATCATAAAGTGAACGTCAGCCATTGTGTGGGACACATCACCCTGGCCATGGTAGTCCGACAGCCCTTTCTGCAATGGGACCTGGCATTAACCTGGCTATGAACACCAGTGCCAGGCATGCTCTCTGCAGGGTCCCAGCTGGTACCTCTGGGCCCTTTCTGGGTGGCACTCATCGACTTGGTCCTGCGTTGCTCTGCTCAGCTCTGCCAGAGGGAGAGCCCGGCACTACCTCTTTCCTGTAATAGTCCAGCTGCCCATTCACCGTGACGTCCAACTTCACGAATGTCTACGTGTTTCTAGCCCCGACTTCTTACTTCAGCTCTTGGCCATTTCTTCTTGGCTAGCCCTGCCACCCAACATATTTTCATTCATTACTGAAGGAGCCCCGGCGGGGCAGTGGATTATGTGTTGGGCTGCTAACTGCAAGGTCAGCAGTTCAAAACCACCAGCGGCTCTGTGGGAGAAAAATGAGGTTTCCTACTCCCATAAAGGGTTACGAGACTCGGAAAACCATGGGGGCAGTTGAACCCTATTCTATAGGGTTGGAATTGACTTGATGGCAGTGCGTTGGCATTTTTTAAAAATCGATTTTTGAAATTCTGAACCTTAAGCAAAGCAGGGCCATGTAGTCCAGGGGTGGGCAAACTGCGGCTCTTTTGGTACATACAGGTGGTTCTGAAGTCAAGTTGAAAAAATTTGAAAGGATAAGCTTCAGAGAATAATGATTTCACTTGTTTGTAGAAATGTATTCATCGCTCACAGTCTATTTTTATATTGTTGTGAGGGCAGGTTTGCTTGTCCCGGTCTAGACTTCTCAAAGCCGATTCAGACTCTGGATGACCCCACCCATACACCCCTACCCCCAGCATAGGACTGCATACTATAGACTACCAAGGAGCCCGCCTTCTCTCTAAAGACTGCACCCCACCCATGCCGCTCATGTGTCTCCCTTGGTGGCCTGTCTCTCCCCTGCTTCTCTTGCAAGACCTGGCTGCAGCTCTCCTTGCGCATAAAGTCTTTCCCTGTCCACTTCTGTGCTCAGGTGAGGCACGGAGTTTACCCTCCCCCCACCCAGGGGGTGCTCGACACCCCGCCATCTTGGTCAGTGGGCAGTGGCGTCCCTTTGCCCCGCACACTGTCCTCCTGCAGAGTGACAGAAGACCGGAGGCTCTTCCTGCGAACGGGAACTTAGCAGTCATCTGGCCCAGGCCTGTTTCACAGACGGGAGGACACCCCCAGAGCGGGTAAACCATTCGTCGTCGAAGACCAGTGGGCAAGTTAGCACGGAGATGGCACCTTTCCTAGGGACAGTCACATGAAGAGTGGGCCGTGCGCAGGTGCTGCTCCCTAGGGAGGCTTCCAGGGGTCTTGATTCACCAGGCACATGGTGGCTTAGGGAGGATATGTGGTGGAAATTGCTGAGAGCCAGTTTCTAGGACCCCGTTTTATTCCGTCTTCCGCCCAGTCCAGGAAGAGATGGGGCTACGAGGGGAGGGGCTGGGGTGTCACAATCCAGGCGTTTTCTCTGGGCCATGGACTCAGGCTGCCTGGGACCCAAACCTGAGCCTGCTGTCTCCCTCTCTCCCTGCAGGGCCTGCGGCATGCGTGTGGTTGAGAGACAGGACATCTGGGCCCAGTGCCACTGCCCGGTTCCAAATCTATCAGGGCCTCAGGATCACGTGGGCGCTCACAGCCTTCCCCGAGAAGCCACCTGTCTCATGCAGGACAATGCTCAGCTCTGGTGCTTCGTCCTGCTGTGATGGGCAGCTGTCCGGGAGGAGAGCTGACCTCACAGCACACCCACCGCCCTCCCCATGGGAGGAGATCTAGCCTCCAAGGCCCTGGGCCTGGGGGTGTCCAGTTGGGTCACCTGGAAACCCCAAGGGGGCCCTTGGCTGCCCTTGGGTGCTTCATACTCTGCCCTGGCATGAATGCCAGTCATCTGAGATTGAACCCCAGTAGCCTGCGGGGAATGGCTGCAGGACAGGGAGCTCTGGTCAGCTAGCCACGGTAACCCTTTTGTTGTTTCTGTCTCCAGTCCCCTCCTCCTGCCCTCCCCGAGGGGAGCCCCACAGCCCCCTCACCTGCAGAACTGGCGGGAGTGGTTCATGTTGGGGCCCGCCTTTATGTTCCCCTTTTCAGGGTCGTAGATGGTTGTGGCCCGGGCATAAGCCCCGCCGAGGATGAAGACGAAGCCATTGAGGGTGACGGCGGGAGCGTACTTGTTGTCTGCGGAGGGAGCAGAGTGCAGGGGTCAGGGCCTCTCCTCCGCAACACCCCTCTCGCCTGCCTTTCCCAGCAGGGCCTCCAGGGACGGGGTGGAGAGCCAGTCAGTGCCCCACTGAGGCACCAAGGATCAGGCCCCGGGATTCAGCAGGTGCAGGGTGCACACACTTTGCCTGCCCGTTCTCAGCTGCACCTGGGACTCGGGGAATTTGCTCTTCCCACCAGACCTGGGTCTGTGGACCTGCCTGGCTTCGCCTCGGCAGGAAGCCATGGGGTGGGCTCACGACACTGGCCCTGGGTGGCGGGCAGCGGGTTCTCACCGATCATTGGGGACTCAATGAAGCTCCACGTGTTGCTCTGAGGGATGTAGGACTGGAGTACCCCTGCAGCGCGGCCCGCCTCATTCACCCCCCCAAACACGTAGATCTTGCCGCCACACACGGTGGCTGCTGCCGAGTGCACGGCCTTGGGCAGAGGGGCCACGGCTTCCCATTGGTTGGTGATGGTGTCGTACCTGTGGAGAGAGGGGCAGAGGGTCCCAGGGTCAAAGGCAGGGCATGGCAGCAGCCACGGGCAGCAGGTATTTGGGGGAGCACCAGCAGGTATTTGGGGGAGCACCAACCACCGTCTGCTTCTTGCCTGTGCCACAGTGCTGGGGCCTCTTGGGAGGACCCCTCAGGACCTCCTGTGGTCTGACCCCAACTAGCCTCTCCTCTCCGGTCCCAGCAGGGTTTCTCGGTCCCCACACGTTTGCTCAAGCAACACATTTCCTGGGCACCTTCAGCCCTCTCTACCTAGCTCCGTCCTACCTGTCTGTCAGCAACCCCGACTCACCGAGCCGCTCCTGCACACCCAGGCACTCTTCTGGAAACAGGTTAAGTAAGCACCAGTCCTGCCCTCCAGGCGCTAGCTAATGGCCCTAGGGGGTGAGGGGGGGCCGAGGAGGATCCAGTGAAACCCCAAGAACACCCCAGATACAGGAGGGTGAGTGTATGATGGCGAGAGACCCCGTTGACAAGGAGGGGCTTACTTAGCCTGCTCTGAGGGGCCAGGCCAGGCTTCTTCCACGGAGCAGCAGAGGCCCGAGTGAGGCCTGAAGGTATGAGTCGGCTACTCACTAGGGGAAGGGGCCATCACGCATCTGTCAGGTTGTCATACTGAGGTGGCCTGCGTGTCACTGTGATGCTGGAAGCTTCCTCACCAAGGTTTCCAATACCAGCAGGGTCACTCCTAATGGACAGATGTCCAGAGAATTTCCCGACTAAAACAGGCTAGGTAGAAGGGTCACATATGGGCCAATCGGGGTCACGGCAGGCCCTCTGAGAGAGAGCCCAGGAGTGGAGGGACCTGGGGTGGAAGACACTCAGTGGCTACTGCATTGGGTCCAGCACAGCCTCACGAGAGGCAGCATGGGAGTGGGCAGGGCTCAGCTCTTGAACATGGGGTAGTGCGGATGGAGCTGCCTTGATGGCCACAGGCACCAGTTAAACAGGGAGTGAGGAGGGGTGGGAGTTGGGGGTGGGGTGGGGTGGGCAGGCCGATGATGGGAAGTGTGGGTGAAGGGAGGTCTTAGAATAGTGCCAGAAGAGAGGCCAGGAGTAGGGCCACATGTGCCTAGTGCTCAGGGGGGGCACCCTGGACGTTTTAGGCAGAGAAGTAATTTGATCAAATTTGGATCCCCGTGAGAGCTCTGTGCGGTAGTGTGTGGATGGGGAAGGGACAGGTCTGGGGGGACTGTTACAGGGAGCTTAGTAACAAGGGGCAGCATAGTGTGAGAAGGCAGGGGCAAAAGAAACGGTGAATCAGGGTGGGGTTTGCATATCAGCTAATTGCTTGCATTAGGAGGGAGCAGAGGGTGCAGGGTCTTTGGCTGGGTAAACGGGATGGGGGAGGTGTCCCTCTGGTACAGTGGTTCTCAACCTGTGGGTCACGACCCCTTTGGGGGGCAAAAGACCCTTTCACAGGGGTTGCCGATTCCTAACAGTGGCAACATGACAGTGATGCAGTAACAACAAAAATAATGCTATGGTTGTGGGGGCGGGGGTGGTTCACCACCACATGAGGAACTGTATGAAAGGGTGGCGGCCTAAGGGAGGCGGAGAACCCCTGCTCTGGTGGGAGAGGGCATCGAAGGAGTGCAGGGGGGAAGACCGGGGGGAGGAGCCTTCACATTAGTTAGTTAGCCCTGGAGCGCCCTATGTCTACTAAGCCACCTGCTCTTTTGTCGCTTCTGACCCATGGCGACCCCGTGTGACCGACTGCTCCAAGCACTTTTCTTGGCTCCAGTCTTGATGGAAGCAGGTGGCCAGGCCTTCTCTTCCATGGTGCCTCTGGGTGGATTTGAACGGTCACATTTTCAGATGATAGCTGATCCCAGACGACCAGCACCACCCAGGGATCCCTGTAGATTTTCCGGGGCTATACATTTAAAAAAAATCATTTTATTGGGGGTTCTTACAGCTCTTATCACAATCCATCCATCCATGGGTCGAGCACATTTGTACACATGTTGCCTTCATCATTTTGAAAACAATTTCTATTTGAGCTCATTTCCCCCCTCTCCCTGCCCTCCCTCTTGAACTCTTGATAATTTATAAAAAAATTTTCAGGTCTTACGCCAGACTGCTGTCTCCCTTCACCCACTTTTCTGTTGTCCGTCCCTCTGGGAGGAGGTTATAGGTAGACCATTGTGATGGGTTCCCATACATCTTTTTGTTGTTGTTTTAAAAGGTTTTTATTGTTGATGAGTCAGTTCTCTGATGGAACACCCACACAGCCACTGCAGCCCAGGTCACTGTAGAATCACTCTTCTTCCTTCTTGTCAGCACCGCGTTGGCCTCGGTAGTCTCCCGACTTCCTTCATTCTGGTCTTGAGTTCTTTGCACGGTGGTCCCTGAGGCCTCTCTCTCTCTCAGGCCATGTCTTGCAAGCCTGTGTTCAGGATCCCTTTTTTCTCCGCCCGATCAGAGTCATCAATCATGCGGAAGCCAGTAGTCTCGCCACCGCCCAGACGGTTCTAAATCCCAATCCAAAGAGGACGTCTGGGGTGGCCTTGCACACGCTGGCTAGCTTTCCACGGATTTCTGCCTTAGGCACTGTCGCTTTGCCAGGGTGAAGGACATCAAGGGCCGCCTGTCGTTGCTAAGGTCATCGGTCAGTCATGAACCTCCTGGTCCAGGCAGTCACTGCCATTCAGGATGATGGAGGACGCTCAAGCAGCCAGCGACATAAAGAGAGGCTAGACATCTGGGTGGGAGCAGACAGCCTCATCTTTCTCCCGCTTTGCCTGGCGTTGGCCGACGCTCGCTCAGCAGAGGCACTGGGATGCCTCCGAGAGTTTTATTCCTCGGGAGTGTGCAGCCCTGGGGCTGCCCAGCAGGCTGCGGGACGCGGGTTTGGAGGAAGCCTTCAGCTTTGGGCTCATTGGCTCACAAATGGGAAGTGCGTGATGAAGCTTCTCTAAGAGAGGGTGGGGCAAGGGAAGGGCTCCCAACAAGGTCTGGGGGAAAGGCTACCATTCAGAGGGAGTTGAGCAGACCCGGGGAGGGATGGACCAACAGACAAAAGCCCAGAGCACTCCAAGTGCGGGGGATGTGACAAGAGCGGGGGTCCGGCGGTGTCTGACATTCAGTCTCCTGTCATGGGAGGTGCAGGAGTGTGTGCGCCCTGAGGAGAGAAGGGGAGACCAGGGAGTGACACTGGAGTAGGGTTCTTCGTGAGGAAGCGAGTGTGGGCAGGAAGGCAGGACTGAGCGGGGTGGGGTGGGGGGTGGGGGACCAGAGCTAAGGGTGGGGTCTCATCAGTCGAGTGCTGGCTTTCCAGGACAAAAGCCCTGGGTTTGTAGCACTTGCTCATCCTAAGTCACCAGAGTGACGTCACAGAGTAGCAAGTTGGGAAGCAATAGGTCACCATGACACAGAATTTCTACCAAACATGACACGCCGGCTCAGTGATGGTGCACACAGCTGCTAACGGAAAGGCCGGAGGGAAAAGAAGAAGACCCAGAGGTTTGCGCCCGCAAAATATACAGCCCAGGAACCTCTATGGGACAATGCTAGTCTGTCCTACAGAGTGGCGGAGTCAGATCTGCTCCCAGAGGTGCCCCTCACCACCATCACCTAAACCACAAGAGACATACGTGACCTAAAGCGCATGTTGTTGAAGGCAGGTGCCACCAACTGTGTTCCACCCCACGGCGACCCTCTGCATCACAGCACGCCACAAGCGGTCTCACACCAACCTGACTATGGTTTTGGTGCCTCAGCCCCTTGTTGGCGGTCACTATGTTAATTCATCTTTGGAGGGCCTTCCTGTTTCTCTGCCCTCCATTTCACCAAGCTTGATGTCCTTCTCTAGGGATTGGGCCCTCCTGACCACAAGGTCTCACCATCCTCTCTCAGGAGCACTGTGCCGTACGTTTTCTAAGACAGATTTGTTTGTCCTTTTGGCAGCCTGATACTTTCCCTATTCTCTGCCAGCGACACAATTCAAATGCATCCATCCACTGTCCAACTTTGAGACCCATATAAAGCAATGGAAAATACCAGGTGCATCTTCGTCCTCAAAGTGATATCCTTGCTTCTCAACACTCTAAAAGGTCTTGTAAAGCAGATTTACCCAATGCAACACATCTTTTGATCTCTTGACTGCTGCTTCTATGAGCATTGATTGTGGAGCCAAGCAAGACAAAAATCCTCGACAGCGTCAACCTTTTCTCCATTTATCATGATGTTACCGACTGGCCCAGTAGTGAGGGGGTTGGTTTTCTTTACAACGAGTCATTATCCATATTGAAGGCTGCGATCCTTCATCTGCAACAGGAAGTGCTTCAAGTCCCCTTTGCCTTCAGCAAGCCAGGTCGTGTCATCTGCATACCACAGGGTGTTTCTAAGCCTTCCTCCAGTCCCGATGCCCTATTCTTCCTATGTCAGCTTCTCTGATGATTTGCTCAGCATGCAGATTGAACAAGTACGGTGAGAGGCTAAGGCCCTGACGCACATCCTTCCTGATTTTAGACCATGCGGCATTTCCTCGGTCCCTCCGCACAACTGTCTCTCGTGCCACGGACAAGTTCCGAGTGAGCACAATGAGGTGTTCTAGAATTCCCACGCTTCTCAAGGTTATCTGGACAGTCAGAGGCCTTTGCACAGCCAACACAGCACAAGAAAGTATCTCGCTGGCATTCCCTGCTTTCAGCCAAGGTTCACCAGACACCAGCAATGACAGACCTGGTCCCACCTCCTCTTCCTCTGGCAGCTCCCTGTCAGTATTTTACGGCAGCCGTTGTTGGATGATCTTGAGCAACATTTTACTTACATGTGCTAGCCGTGATATTGTTTTGTTGTTCGCACATTCCGGGTCAGCTTTCTTTGGAATAGTACAAATATGGATCTCGTATATGGATCTTTTCCAGTCCATTGGCCAAGCAGTAACTGTCTTCCAAATTTCCTGGCATACTAGTGAGAGTTTCAGGTGCTTCATCAGCTTGTGGAAACATTTCCATGGCTGGTTCAT